GTTATTGGATTTACAATTTTTATTTATTTATTTTATTTTATTTATTTAGGCACCAGGGCTCGAACTCGGGACCTTGGGCTTGGAACCACTGAGCTAAATCCCCGGCCCAGTTATTGGATTTTTAAAAGATTTTCCCACCCCTGACTCTCACATTGCAAATAAGTAGTTTAAGTCTACTTCAAAGGATGTGAACTTTTTTTTTTTTGATACTGGGGATCGAACTCGGGTCCCTGCCCTTGCATAGCAGGAGGCGAAACCATTGAGCTAAATCCCCAGCCAAGGATGTGAATATTTTAATCAATTTACCTTGTAAAAAAAGAATTGTGATGCCAAATTTTGTACCTCTGACAGCTGAATGTTAGTTGGAAGATAGATCAATCTTGGTAGAAATCTGGCTACCTTATGTAATGAGACCTTAGGTGCCAAAGAAAGATTGTTTTTGGTAGTATAATTAGTAATGTGGAGCCTGACAGTACAGTGGTACAATATGGGGCTATTTAGTGTTGCCATAGTAGAGAAAGTCAAGGGTCACTTCCAAAATATCCACCAGATGTCGCTATCTTGTTCTAATTCTCACCCCCAGGAGAGCCTGGAGATAACTTGAAATGTGTATTTTAAGAATTCATGTAGGAAATATTTGCGTGTCTGCTTTGGTACAGTTTTTTTTTTAACACTACCGTCTGGTGACTGGCAACATCCTAGTCTGTCACTATCCTGTCTCATTTTTCCTTCCACCCATTCGTCTGGCACATTCATCCTGTGTACTCTGTTTCCTCATTCTAATGTTGAGTTCTGTTTTACTAGTTTTTCTTCTACTATTCTTTCCTCAAGTCTTGTTTCTTGCCTCTTTGTGTCATGAGTATATTTATGTGCAATCGTCAGCTCAAGTTTTTGCTAAAAGAATAGGACTTGAGGGGCTGGGGATTTAGCTCAGTGGTTCCGCTGCCTGCCTCAAAAGTGCAAGGTCCCTAGTTCGATACCCAGTACCAAAAAAAAAAAAAAAGAGAATAGGATTTGGCATATAATGACATAATAGGATTCAACATATCTTTAATGAATATTTTTAGTGAAAGAGTACATGGATGAAGGAGAGAAAAATGTAGCAGGATACCAAAAATTATTTATAGTTTGCTTGAGAATACAGTAAAAGAGATAAAGTCTGAAATAAACTATAATTAAGTACCAAGTGATAGAATATTGAGCACGGTCATGGTAGATCTTTGAAATTTATTTATTTATTTTTGGTACCAGGGATCAAACTTGGGACTTTGCACTTCCAAGGCAGGTGGTGGAACCACTGAGCTAAATCCCCAGCCCAGATCTTTGAAATTTAAAAAGAGAAAGAATCATTCAGGCTGCCAGTATTTACTGAACTTCTACTATGTGCCATATAATATTCTTGGTTCTGGGAATAAACCAGTAACAAATCATACAAAAGTCCTTGTCCTCATGAACTTATGGGGGAAAGTTGATGATAAATGAACAAGCTGCCAGGCATGGTGGCACATGTTTATAATCCCAGCACTTGGGAGGCTGAGGCAAGAGGATCACTGCAAGTTTGAGGCCAGTTTAGGCTATATAGTGAGTTCAAGGCCAGCCTGAACTACACAGTGAGACTCTGTCTCAAAGACAAACAACAAAACAAGTTGGGTGTGGTGGTGCACATCTGTAATCTTAGCACTTGGGAGGCTGAGGCAGGAGGATGGGATGAATTGGAGGCCAGCTTGGACTATGTAGTGAGACCTTATCTCAAAGTACCAAAAATAAATAAACATGTAATATACAAGATAATAATGGATGATATAAAGAAGAATAAAAAATAAATCAGACAAAGAGGACTGGGAGTGCTGTAAAAGAAGTAAATAGACTAGAAGGAGAATGCCAGAATGTATAAGATGACATATAAGCCTATGATGAATATTAGCATTATGTATGCCTAAAATGTACCAATAAATGTTTTGCTATAAAAAAGTAAAAAAAAAAAAAGGTGACATATAAGCAAATACCTGAAGGAGAAGCAGAAATAAGCCATGATAAATGTTTGAAAGAGATCAAAATCAAGAGTGGCCAGAGGAGGGGATATAGTTCAATGGTATAGTGCTTGCCTAGCATGCAGAAGGCCCATTTTTGCAAAAACAAAAATGAAGAATAGTGGTCAGAGGAGTTTTATAGAGGCAGTGGAACTTGATCTAAGCATAGTGATGATCTGAGTAGTAGAAGGGTGGTATTTGGGAGCATTCTAGGCACAGGGTCAGTTGTGAAAGGATGGAGGTGAAAATGAATCTTGTAAATCTGTGAGTTAGTGAAGAGCCTTGTGATCTAAACAGAGATGATTTGGGGGGAGGCCTTAAGACCGGGATACAATTTTTTTTTTGCATGACAAAGTCTTTACTTTTACTAGTAAATGATTATCAATACACCAAATAATAAGTAACAAGTTCTTGAGTCCTATCATCTGGTAAATTTTTTTGTTTTGTTTTGATTTGAGACAAGGTCTCACTATATAGTCCAAGCAGCTCTGGATCTAACTATGGAGCAAGCTTTTTTTTTGGTACCAGGGATCGAACTCAGGTCCTTGTGGTTGCAAGGCAGGTGGCGGAACCACTGAGCTAAATCCCTGGCCCGGGATACAATTTTTATCTGACATGCTAAGAAGAGGAGTGCTGGAAGATACTGAGCAGTAGAGCAGCAAAATGAGTGTATTGTCTAAGAATAACTAAGATGAATATGGACTGGAAGTCCATAGTGGAAGTCTGGAGGCAGCAGGTTAGGTGAGGGTAGAGCACTTGCTTAGCATGCACAAGGCTCTGTGAGTCTCATCCTCAGCACTACAACACATAAGTAAGTAAATAAGTAAAAGCACAGTTTAGGAGCTAGGATATGTTTGCCCTCTTTGATAGTAAGTATGCGCTTTTTCGTGTATTTCTATGCTGATGTCACTGAGTGTAAATGTAATAGAAGTTGTAACGTTACCCTCAAGGAACTCGGCTAATGTGATAAAACAAAAGGAATAAGAAATTACTTCAGAGGGTCATTTAAAATCTTTCTTTTTTGTGGTACTGGGGATCAAACTCAGGACCTTGTGCTTGTGAGGCAGTTGCCAGAACCACTGACCTAAATCCCCGGCCCTGGCATTTTTAATTACTTGTTTATTCAAACTGCGTATGTCTTTGTGGTCATGAATGATTGCCTATAATAAATGTGTTGAGTTTTTCATAGGTGTGAATTTCACACATCTTAGTTTTACATAGAGAGAAATCACAGGCAATATTTTCACCAAATGACTGTTTTGTTTAAGGCTCAAAGTCTTACTTAGGGAAATGTGTTAATGTATTTATTAACAGAAGGGATGGATGTGTTTGTTAATGTTTCTTCCAGAGTCTTCATTCATTCATCTAAAAAGATTTCCTGAGTACTTTCCATGTTGTAAGTAGCATACAAAAAGAATTCTGTAATGGTTCAGAATCTGGAATTTGTCCCACTATTGGGTCTGGGACAAATTACTTACCCTGAAAATCTCAGTGTCTCTGCCTCTGTCTCTGATTCTCTCTCTGGAGGTTGAACCCAGGGAGCTACATTCCCCAGATCTTTTAAATTTTTGTTTAGTTGGGATTCCAGGTGTGCACTACTATGCCTGGCCTCTCTTCGTATGTAAAAAAAAAAAACCATTTATGGTAATTGTGACCATCGA